TAAGTGGGGAAAACTAGAATTTGGTTTCCAGCATCCACATTGTTAATGTGACTTCCAAATATGCTTCACAGTCTGAGTCATACTGTGTGAGCATATGCTAAAGTCATTGTTGGGTGTATCTTCTTGTTGCTAAAGGTCTGCTATTTGAGGAACACTAATATTGTTTTGAAAATGATGCTTCAATCTTTCCTTCTGTTTATAAAAAAGGAAACACAGGATTTAACTGATAATTTTGCACCTTTAAACTCCAATGGTAAAAGGCCAAGACCAAAAATCAGGGCATTTTAAGACCTGTTAATCACTGGTATCACATCTAGGATTGTATTAAATAAATGCTAAGTGATAGTCTTTCATTTTGAAGTCACTATAGGGAAACGAATAAATTGCATACATGGTGAAAGTATCTGAAACTACTGGGGTTTTTATTGGCTTGTAACTGGCTATAAACTTTTATTAAAATATTATACAGTTTATTTTTAAGGCCCGCATGTTAATCTTGTTTGTAACAGTATTAAATTATGCAGAATTACTAAATAGGTAATAGGTAAGAATGTAAGCCTTTATGAGTTTCAGAAATAAATTGAATGCTAAGATTTATTTTCTCTTCTAAATGTACAAGAGATAACATGGTAAATAGATGACTGGTGTAATCTTTTAAAGAAAATAAAAGTTAACCATATTTGTAATCATTTAAAAAAGAAAAATGAAAACTTGACATCCTTTTAGAGTATTTTCATGTGCCAAATTTATGAATTTTCTGCATATCATTTAAATGATTAAAAGCAAAATAGTATTTGAGAATTACACTTTAAACTTCTCATGGTAGTTGTGAAACAAATTTTATAAAGAAAAAACATTGATTCAAATTTCAGTTTAAGGAATCTTAGCACGCCAACACATGTGATATTTTTGGAAAGCTGGTGCAGCCCAGATTGCCTTTCATTGAGAAATACAACAGAGTACAGAAAGTCCTGGTTTCTATATTACATGTTGTAATGCTCCCTAGAAACTAAGGCTTAGTAGCAAACTGGAGGATACATTTTCTTTTCTTCTTTCATATGCCATATTAGCTTTGAATATTGTATATTTGGAAATAGCAATAGTTTGGCTGAATAGTTGTCTCTTTTACTTTCCTGGGTATTTGGAAATCATTTCCTGTTCTATATTGTATTTGAGTTTTAGCAGTAATCCTGGTGGTGGTGCTCTTTGACTTAAAAGATCCTGTAACTACGTATGAATAAAGTTCTTTTTATATTAGCAGTAGTAGATTAAAAATAAGTTTTCAACTTTAAGATAAAGGACATCACCACTGTATTACTTTGAAGGGCAGCTCCAAATAGCTACTCAAAAAGATCTCCTGCAGCAGAAAAAAGCTTGGACATGGGAGACAGACAGATCCATGTGGCCCTGGGAATGTCACTTAACCACTGTGGGCCCAGTTTCTACATTTGTAAACTTGAGCTAATCCCTATCTTACAATATTTCATCTCAGTTGACTGATAAGACATCACATGTAAAGCCCCAGCACAAAGTCTAATACACAGTAGCTAAGTAGGTAACATTAGTCACTGTATTTCCCTAATCTTTATTTAACTAATATACTGTCTCAAATAGTATTAATAAAAATACAGAACCAGCAAGCCCATCAGACCACATTTACTTTGGGGAATTTTTTTTTTTTAATACGGAGTCTCACTCTGTCACCCAGGGTAGAGTGCAGTGGCACAATCTTGGCTCACTGCAACCTCCACTTCCCTAGTTCAAGCAATTCCCCCACCTCAGCCTCCCGAGTAGCTGGAATTACAGGTGCATGCTGCCACGCCCAGCTAATTTTTTTGTGTCTTTAGTAGAGACGGGGTTTCACCATGTTGACCAGACAGGTCTCAAACTCCTGATCTCAGGCAATCCACCTGCCTTCTGGCCTCCCAAAGTGCTGGGATTACAAGTGTGAGCCACTGCACCCGGCCTGTTTTATTTATTTATTTATTTATCTATCTATCTATCTATCTATTTATTTATTTTAAGAGAAAGGGTCTTACTGTTTCACCCACTCAGGCTGAAGTGCAGTGGCATGATCATAGCTAACTGCAGCCTGGAACTCCTGGGTTCAAGCAATCCTGCCTCAGCCTCCCACTATAATCCCAAAGTGCTAGGATTAGAGGTGTGAGTCACCACACCTGGCCTTGCATTTACTTTATAACTGGTGAGTTTGGGGAATTGAGGAGAATCAACCTCATATTTTGAGTGTAAGTCAATTTTAATTTGTATAATTCTTGGTGAATTATATACTGTAATTGTAATTAGAACACATGTACCTTAGAAACTCCTTTTACATTTCATAATTTAACTTACATTGCAACCCAGGGATATGAGCATTGAATGTATTGTTTTTATCCTGTTTTACAAGTTAGAAAAATGTCACTTTCTGAAGTGAACTGACTTCTTAAAAGTAGAGATGAAACTTGAATTTGAACCTGTGGGCTCTAAATTTTGTGTGGGCTTCATGACATCATGTTGCCTTCTCACAGAAATAAATGTTCTTTCCTTTTATAGTGACATGTTAGTGGATGGCTGGCCACTATAAGAAAAAGCTAACTCAAGAAGCTAAGATGGTCTATAAATATGATAAGAATTGACTATTTACTGTTGAGAGATTATTGTTTCTCAAAATAACCCTAAGACCTTTCATACAATTAATGTATTTGTTATACTTTAGTATGAAGTAGATTTGGTTTGAAATGAGCTTTATTTTCCTTGGGTTCTCTTTTTTGGCATTATTTATGGTAAGTTTACGTAAATGAACTAATAGTTTCATTGCTTATTCTCTAGCACATTGCAAATTTAGAAAGTTAACAAATAGATATTTAGGGAATGCATTTAATCTACTTAAAGAAACCTAAGTTTACATCAAAAGTATTAAATATTTCATATTCAACTTCATAAGTATTATATAGAATAAGTCCATATATCCATAGGGAGTTTGAATGTTCTTTCATTTCTTAAGGTAACTAATGTATCTAAAGTTCAAATTATTTGTCCAAAAGAACACAAAAAACATATCAGATAAAATGATTCATAATGAAAAATAAGATGAAGGAATGTAGGCGCAACATACAAAGATTTTACATATTGGGATACAGTAATGTGGGTTTATTCCATAAGTCAGTTCTTAAGAACTATGTAACGTTCTTGAGATTTATCTTACCAAAGAGTTAAAAGCTAAACCGTTACTGTTTCATAATGCTAGCAGAAGATACAAGTCTTCTGGGTCAGAAACAAAGGATGTTGTAATTCAGAGCAAAAGCAGTAGCCAAGTGTCAGCCTGTTGCTTATACCAGTTTCCTATCCCTTTCTTCCTGCATATCTAACAGGGTTGACACAAAGGACCAATGATGGATGCCCATACCTGTGGGTTGTGTTAAAAGAGAACACTGACCTTGGGGGATTCATATAGACCTGCTTTGTAGCTAGAGGGAGATATCACCTAATCCCTCAAGGTTGCTCATTGCAAACACCACCCTGAGAAATGGCCCAGATAAAAAGCAATCTGAAAGTCTTTTATTCTTGTTATTCCCAAAAGTATCTGCAGGACTGCTCAGGGCCACAGCAGAATGCCTTTCCCAACATCAAGTAGCTTTCAACATGTTTTCATGATAAGAGACACACTTCCCTAAAATATGAGAAATATTGACATCAGTGACAATGCTCTTTATGCCAGTGACTCTGAAGAGGAAGGAGGGAAATCCTGTACCCTTTGCAAATGCCTGCAGGTGATTTTGATACAACCACCTCACTGATCTGGGCATTGGTAGCCATATAGGGTAGCCATAGAAGTTTGGGGAGGAAGGAAGTGTTGTAATCTTTTTATTTTATTTATCACTCAAGGCATTGTGTGGTGAATTGATCAGAGTAGACAAGACTGAAGACAGAACCCAATAAAAAGGCTTCTACGACAACTCTGTTAAGTACCTCAAGGTGATCCAAGCTCATGCAATCTGGATACAGAAGGTGAAAAAGAGAGGAGTGCTGGGCTGGAGAGGGGGAAAGATGAGGAACGGGAAACAGTTGGGTTGGAATGGCACATTGGTGAGGAAATCAGCAGGTAGGAATTAGGGAGTACAGTAAGTTTGAGGATAAGATACCAGGTTCAGTTTTTGAAAAGTTGTTATTGAAAGATTTATTAATCTCAATTGTCTATAAATTAAACATAACTGGGTTCAGTATATACCAGGATGTAGAAAAAAAGGAATTTATATATAATTTAGAATCCAGTAGTGACATTTACCTCCTTTTCACTTAAAATTAGCCAGAATTTTTCACTTTGTAGTTAGGTCTCTGTCAAACACACACACACAAACACAACACAACATTTAGCATTAAAGTGAATACTGCAGTCCACTAGACACTTTAGTTCATAATGTAAAAATCTTAGTCAAAAATAGCACAAAAATGTCAATGTTGGCACCAGATAATATCCAAAGTGTATAATACTCTCTAAAGTCCTTATCAAATGGGCACGATGAATGGACACATCATTTACAATGATAATTTCAAATTATTCTCATTATAAACCACATTTTAAAATTAATTAGGAGAAAATTTTATCCTCTTATTTCTCTATACTAAATTGTAATAATCAGTTTCCCATGAGTAAAGTACATATAGTCGAGAAGGAAAGAAGCCAAAGTCTGGATTGCTAGATGATAAATGAGAAGTAAAACATCATTCTTGGTCAAAATTTCAGCTAAAGGTGGCCCAAATCATTGCATAAACAAAATTGGCATTCAGTTGTTGCTTTTAATCTGTCTACTTTTTCAGCTACATTAGCTCTAGATACATCTGATGCTTGAAAAGTTGGTAAGGGGGCAAAAATGGGGTTTCAGAAGTCTGAGTCACTGATATTTTAGTATTTTTAATAAAGACAAAAATAATCTTGGGCTCTGAGAATGTAATGAGTGTTTCTTCGTTGCACAACACAGAGCCAGCTGTCATGTTCTTACCTGATTGCAGGTATTGATGTCTATGCCCCCCTTCAGATATTCCACGACTTTGTCCAGGTTGCCTGCTCTGGCAGCACGGAGGAAGCTCGCGTTGCTGTCAGACTGCGAGAAAAATAAAAGACCTTTAGTGAACTATTGATGAAATAGAAATGTATCGAATACAGAAAGACAAGAATGTTTACACTGAAGTAGAAAAGCTTTAGTTGGAAAAATTTCAGTAATACTGAGTTTAAAACATTGAATAATCATTCACTATATAAGGTAGCAACCTCACAATGTTTCTAGAGAGTTGTTTAGGTACATTAAAAGTCAATATTTTAGGGTATAAAAGAACCATTAAAATGGAAATAATTATTACTGCTTTATTCTAAATCTTCAGCCACATTTGAAGACGTGTTGACGCTAACCTCAAATACTGCTATTACTCATTCATTTTAGCTTCAAGATTCTAGTGACTTTATACTGAGCTAATGTCAAGTCAAAAAAGAATCAGAAAGCTAAAGAAATTAAAGCTACTGGGTTTTTTCTTTCTCTTTCTTTCCTGTTGGTTTTCAGATGCTTCTGAGAGAGAACACTGAGTATGGGTCACTTGGCAGTCATCTGGTCTCATTAGAAGGGAATAACAGAAAGCTCCAAGGGTGCTTTGAGGAAAGAGGATAGCACTACTTGGCAGGTGTGGACTGGGCTGATGCAAATTTTATGATCCCAGTGATTTTGGAAAAACACGATTCAATTTAAACCACCTGACATAATACCAGACTAAAATCTTTTGGTAAAGATGATCACTCTGGATGGAAACTGCTTTTTAAGTTTCTCATCTTCCCACACTCCCCTCAAAATCGGATGCTGGGAGACTCAGCTGAATTCTGCCTGTGGCAAATCCTAAGGAGAGTTGCTCCAGATGCACAGTTACAATCACGCGGCCCCTCTGGCTTGGTTATAAAGTCTGACTTTTAAACCGTAACATAATAATGATGATAAACTTTTGCTGGGTTCCAAGACACCTGCATAACTGTGATAATTTTTTTGTGATATAATACCTGACTAAAGAGAAAATGGTGGCATGAAAAGGGACATACTAGGAAGTGAGATGAAGGTTTGATGACTCTTAAACATTCTCCTCACTAGGCTACACTGCCTCCCTCCCTCAAAGAAAGTACTTGGCAAGAACCTCTTGGCACACTCAGTCAGAGCTATTTATTATGATCCGTGATGATGTACAGAGATAGAAATGGAAGTATTTTCTCTGGGAGTTTCAAATATGGAATTACTTGCATGCTGTTAAAATGATTTACACATGGGAAGACTGAAAACCATAGAACTAAATTACCTCACTTTTAACCCAAATACCAAGTGGCTTATATGTTTATAAATGAGATAGATTATTTATTGAGTTGAAAGGTATGACTGAAATCTATACATCCAGAATTCATGCCCTGATTCTTTAAAACTGCATCATTGTATGATTAATATCACACTGTTCTTCACTCTTCATCCTTCCTGCAGGCTGTACCGATGGCAGAGTGCTCCAAGAATATCTGCAATGCTGCAGCAACTGAACTGTGACTCATTTTTAAATGCCTATTCTATGAAATTTATTTTGCTGTTTGCGGCAAATGCTAAATTCCAGGAGGATTTCCTACCTTCAGGTTTGTTGTCACAGCACTTAAAAGTGAGTTATAATACTGTGTATTATGTTATGTTAATATCTCACAAGAAACATTAATTTTACTATAAAACAACGAAAGTTAAATAGTATTGGGTTGCAGATATAAAACACGAACATATTATTCCTCTATATAAAGTTTTTCCAAAACAAATCTGTGTGCTATGTATTATATCAGAGGTTGTTCCTAGAAAGTACTTTCCAATTTGTACATAAAGCAGATGCTTATAGGTAACATTTACTGAGTGTTTAGTGGGTCAGGAACAGAGCTAAAGGAGTCACATGTATTATATCACAAATACAACAATACTATGAGAAAAAAACTATTCTTACGCCCATTTAATAGATGAGGAAAGAGATTTAGGAAGTTTCCAAAGTCACATATTTACACAAATTTATTTAATGGAAGACCTGAGATTTAATTTATGTTTATCAGTTCAGAGCTGTAAGTTTTATCTGCTATCTTATCCCACACCTTCAAAGTATCACGGTGGATATTACTACAGATTCCTAGCCTGTGAGCTCTAGGTTTATTTCATCTGCGTTAACCACAATTATGCCTTTGGTCTACATATTTACTCTGTAAATCATGGCACTTGCTAAATAAAGTGCCTCAGCTGGAGAGAAAATTATTGACTTCCATCCCTACCCTCACAGCTATCACCCCTCTATATGCACTCTATAAAACTAACTCTGTTAAGTACCAACCTGAAATGAACTACTTAGAAACACATTCATCTGAGAATGAGGAAACAGGTGATAAAGAATGCTTTGCATTAAGAAGCCAATTGTCTCCCTGTAACATGCCTAACATGATTAAACTCAGCAAAAGATCAGGTTGCTCTATTGTTCCTATAAAAAAGAATGCTGTGAACAGGTGGAGCCAGAAGAAAAGCCTAACCCCGAAGGGATGAAGAGACACCTAGAAACACAACTGCAGAAGCCTAGAGTGGTGATGATGGTCTGATGGGGCCTCAGGTATTGCTGAGGAATATGTAATAGACCATCTTTGAATCTTCTCTGGGGATTGGACATGACATTGAAGATTGCTTTTGCCGTTATAGAGTAACGAAAAGTTTTTATAACTGGTTTTCTCTTTTCTGAACCAAACTTTTAAAAAATGGATGCATCTCAAAGTTATAGCAAATCCTTAGAATTTTAGCAAACAATGCTCCCAGTGTCCTGAAGGGTCTGGGTCCTATGGAAATATAATATCTGAGCCATTCTGCCAAGGACCACTTCAGCAGTTGAGTCATAGGAGACTTTTGTATAAGTTGAATTCTCCAAGAACCGCTTTAAGGGATTTAGTTTCCCCCAAAATGAGAAAATGCATTAAATGGAAATATTATTATAAAATAGTCCAAGAATGTAAATTTCAAGGATGGAAATAAAATGAGGTTTTAAAAGTTATATATGAATATTGACATTATTGAAGCTCAAATTTATATACCTGCATAGAAATATATATTCTTCTCCCCCTTCCACACAGACACAAGCACATCATACCCTACAATGAGGTCAATCTGTGATTAAGGCCCTTGACACAAGTGCTTTGGATAAACAGTGGTTAGCCTGGTTATCTTCAATCAATACAGAGATGAAAGAGGATTCAAACATTCATGGAGAGAGATACAGCAATTTTTACCATGCTGCGTTTCCCAACTGATTATGATAAAAGCAAGGGTTTTTAAATCAAGTGTAAGTAGGAGGAAAAGCATGCTTTTAAAATAGACTGTTTTCTTTGCTCAACCAGGAGATTTCACACATAAAAGCATAATAAAGAGAAAATGAGGCAAAAGCAACTTCTTTGGGAGAAAGTCTCAGACAAATGTAAGACTATCCTCTCTCTGCTTTGCTGCTTATGTCCCTAGGACTCTCAAATCCTAAAACCAATTGTACTTACGCCCATAGTCAAACTCTGGACAAGGAATTCCACTGCTGAGCCCCACCTATTTTAATCTGCAACAGATGGATGTCATTAAAACTTGCCCCCTTTATAACCCTAGAGTGACATCTCAAGCCAAGAAAGAAAAATTTCGCATTAAATTCTTCTTGACACAGTTCTGTATGTTGTCTTGTATCTGAATGTTAGAAAAACAGAACAACTTTCTTAGCACCCAGCAGTGTGGACATGAAAGGCAGGGAGGAATGTGCATTCACAGAGCCACATTATATCCCCAAGGAGTGCTGATCCAAAGGCTCTAGGGGCATATCCACAGGGCTCCATGAGCTTGCTACAAGTTTTTTAATTCTTTAATTCTGTGCTTATGTTTCAATAATAACCTAATAAAGAAGATATTAGCATATTCCAGGTCCTCTACAGGGGTACCCTATATGTGAGTATAACCATATAACTTCGGTATATGTCTTTGTGTTTGTAACTCAGTGCATAACAAGTGAAGTCCAAATGATATACAGATGCATAATAGACAGAACATTTTGCTGTAGTACAGAGACAAGAATGGTCAGAGAATCTGCTCATCATACATGGCAGGACATGATGAGCCAAAAGCACCTGAGCAGCAGCAGTCAGTAGCATATTAACATACGCTCAGATGCTGTCTTCATATGGTCCAACTTGCACTGACCATTAGCAGTGAGTGTAATAGAAAATCCACAGTGAAACATTTTTTCAGTTTTTAATTTTAGCTTTTATTGGTTTGCGTACACAACTCTATCCCAATAGTAATTTCCTCTCCAAGCAAATAAAGAGAGCTTTCAAAGATTATATTCTCTTAAAGCTATTCTCTGATAGCTTCAAGTTTTATTAGCTTGAAGTAGGTAACAACACCTTAAAGTTATTAAGAATAATTTGTACAACATACTTACAAAAAAGGTATTCTTTATATTATTTTTACTGGAGTCAAATTCAGAAACTAATTAAATACAGAACTCTGAGGTTATATCTTTTTTATTACTAAACATAATATGTTAAATTTAGTTTTAGACATTTCCATTCATTGTATTAAATTTATGTCCTTTATTTGAATAATACTATAAAACTTACATAACTAGTTTTACTTAATTTGTCAAAGTTTCTTTTTTATAGTGGCACAAGAATTTAAAGAGTTTTATATGGTTTTATGTTTTAATACTTAACACTATAATAAAAATAACACTGGAGGTCATAATTTTTATATACTTTAAAAGAAATCAATAGACTATTCAAGTTTGAGAACCACTTGTCTAAAAGGGTGGCCCAACCAGCAGTCCCTCCTAGCCTTAAAAGAGTGACACCAAACACCTCCCCTGTCACAGTCTCTGGCTTATGGTGTGCCCTACACACATATTTGCTGACTGGTTAACCTTAAGTAAAGCACATGCTCCTTGTGGAATTTGAGGAATCTGCTTATTTTCTTAGGAAGCAGTCATTCCTTTGTAAAAACTGGGTCATTTACCTGGCTACTCTGAGATCTGCGTTTTTATAGCAATACAA